ACGACCTGGACCAGGTCCGAGGGCCTCTGCTCCTCTCTGACCTCACATCTGGCTCCGGTTACACGATCAGTTTAACCTCCTTTAAGCTCCTTTTGTCTCTGCTCTCCTTTAGTGTCACTAGTCTCTAGTGTTTTCCTCTAAAAGAGACAAACCTGCTGCAAACTGCCTCAGAATCTGTGCAGCCTCGGCTGGACTTTGAGTCTCTGGACGTCAGACTGACCGTTTTCCTGGAGTTTAACTTTAACTGGAGCCTTTAAACTACCAGGAGCCTTTAGTTGGAGCTGTTTCTGCCCTCTGGAAGCTGAGAGGCATCAGAGCAGAGCTCCATCTTTTCTGCGTTTGGCTGCTTTGACATCAGAGTTATGATGACATCATAAGAGATTCGGCTTTAAATGGGGGGGAACATTTAGAGAGAGAAAAGGCCAGAAAATCCAGGGGTTCGTTTGGCTGTTTTTGTCCACATGAGCTGGACTCACACAGGGATTTGTGTTGATAACTAAAGAGCCCAAAAAAAGAGCCAAAACCCAGCAGATTTCCTTCAGACTAGGAAAGTTTCTACCGTTAAAGCCACAAACGGACTCATCTGTGTCGTCTCTGACTGCTTCTTACATCCTGATAACTTCCCTGTTAACTCAGCTCAACTCAAACTTTATCTATAAAGCACATTTAAAGCAACTGGGTTTGACCAAAGTGCTGTCCAGATGTCACAGTTGCAGGAAATAAGGTCAAAATTAAAAAGCTAAAATACATGAACACAATGCAATAAAATAGAATGAAAATAAAATAGAATAGAATAGGATAGGTTCAAATCTAAATAAAAATGTCTTTAAAATGTAAAAATGTGTGTTTTTAGGGAGGATTTAAAACCTCTAAAGGCTAACGTGTCCCAGTGCCTCAGTTTAAACAGAACCAGCACAAACCCACCTGGAGAGAGTCTTGGACCTGGTCAGAGCCTTGGTGATGACCAGCGACGGGGCGGACTGACGCCGGTAGCTCTGAAACCTCATTCGCTAAAAAAAAAACAACACACACACACACACACACAGAGAAGATTAAATATAACTTTTTCTGTTTCTGTTTCTGGACTCAGAGAGAAGTCACCTCTCATCTCACAGCAGGAGCAGAAACTTTGGGGGTTACTCTGTCCTCAGGTGTTACATAACATCCCCGTTCAGCTCATTTATCACAGCCCCAACAGGACAAGGACAGCATCCTGGAGCTCCAGATTCTGTCCAGAAGGCGGTTTTTAACACCCAAAAGCACCCAGCGGACAGTGAACGCACCACCCCCAGCCGAGTCACGCAGCCACGACCATACCGGCTTTTCCCGGCTGGATCCTATTATCCCCGTTTCCCCACGAGGATCATTAAAGTTTCATTTAATCTAATTGTAGGAGGATTTACAAAAGAGGCAGGTTGACAAACAACTGTTACGTAAGCGTGGTTTTTTTCATTTATGTCAGATTAACCCACTTGCCGTTGCTCACATAATGCTTCTGTGTTCAGAGTGATTTTTTTACAAAAAAAACAGCTGGCTGGTATTCCCAAGACCCTCAAAAACGGGCCATGTGTTCACCCACAGAACCACCAGCTCTGGCTGGAGGGCAAAAGGCTCCAAAATAAGAGCTAAACTCATCCAAACCTGGACATAAAACACAACCTGGAGCCCTCTTATAGCTGGAAGTGGAGCTATCCATAGTCTGGAAATCTTGACATGGCTGAAAGCTGCTGTTCTGTGGGGTGAACCACATCTTACATCTTAACCCTTTAAAGCCTGATCCAACAAAAATAGGAAGAATATAGGATTTTTTATTATCAAGAACAATATTTATTAAAGAGCGTCTCTACAGAACTAAAAAGAACGTGAAAAGCTTCTGTTAAATGTGCTGAAAATAGAAAATTAACTTCACCCTTTAAAGCCTGATCAGAGAAAAATAGGAAGAATATTGGATTTTTTTAGTCTGAACTCTTTCTTTGGCTCCTCAACAACATATGAAGAAAAAAAACTGAAATTATTTTGATCAAATTAGCATTCAATAAGTCAAAAATATATTTTATAGTCTCTACTGGCTGTTATCAGGTATATCTGAATGTGTACAACAGGGGTTTGAGCAAAGTTTTTACTATTGAATGATGCAAAAAGTCTCAGATCCAAAAGACTTCAGAAACCGTTTGTATCAAATATGATACGTTTAACATTATAGGGTTAATCCTCTTCAATATACAAAGAAAAACCTTCTAACAGAACCAATGTTTAGCTGTGTAAAACCTCCGTTCGGACGTCAGCTCAGAGTGGACTCTCTGCCTGTGAAAACATCCGTCTCCCTCCATCCTACAGCCGACAAGCAGGTCCACGCATTTCTGACATTTCACAATGTAACGTCATTGATTTAACCTGGTCACAGGCCGGTGAAACATTCCCGACACCCCGGCCCACATTACAATGTCACCTTTCAGGCCTAAAAATAACCCAAAAATCTTTCATGCAGATGTGGGTTTCTCTGCTCCACAGACCAGGGGAGAATACTGGGACCTGCTCACTGGATCCCACTTTCTTCCTCTGACTCACTAAAGAAAAGTGGGCTCAAATGGAGACGCCCTGCTGGCATTAAGGCAGATGTGTCCTCAGATTAAAGCCGAGTGTTTGTCATCCAAACATGAAGAACTGAGCCATGGCTGAATCCACTAGCTGGCCGGAGCAGAAACAGCAGAAAACGCCTTTGTCTCCTCAAAAAAGCCAAATCTTAACAGAACCTGCAGGTTTTTCTGCACACGTGAAAGGGATTTTCACACAGAAATATGGAAAACAAGGAACAAAAACACGGAATTGATCACTTCCATCACTATTCAATTTGGTTTCTGTAGCAGCACTGTTTATTATACCTATAAATCTTAATTTTTGCAAAATAACCATAAACATATTTGCTCTTTAACGAATGTTAAATCATTTAAATCAAAAGTTCCTCAGACCCAAGTCTGTTTAAAGTAAAATTAAGATAATACCAGCTATTCAATAATCATTCAAAGGGAACGGTTTTGTTTTGGGCTCAAGAATTCTTGATATTCATGAATAAAGCGGATTAACGGACCGCGTTTTCCCACAAATCAGAATTTATCGGCAGGTTTCAACACCAAATAAAACGTAGTTCTGCCTTTTAAGTGGTTGACTTTTACGAGCTCTGCTATAACAATAAAACACTATAAAACATGAACAAACTCCTGCCTACAATAAAGATTCACCTGTGGGGAACAAATAGCCGGCTGTTCAAAAGTTGTGGGCAAGTTACTTTTTTTTAAATAAACTTCCTCCATTATAGTCTTATATGAAGGATTTGATTCCAATCCGACATTTTATACGATTGCTCAAAGGTTTGGAAATGAGATCTATGGTTTGTAACTGTTTTATGAATTTCTAATTATAGATAGATGTAACTGTAAACTGTAATGTTATTTGTAATGTAATCTTTTGCCACTGTCTTGGCCAGGACTCCCTTGAAAAAGAGATTGTTAATCTCAATGGGACTTTAAATAAAGGAAAGAAGAAGAATAGCGTTTTGTATTTAAAGAATAGCTAAAAACCGGTTAATCTTTGTCGTGCAGCCTCGGTGTAATAAAGCTGTAATTTTGGTGGATTTCTGCTGAGTTACTGGCTGCTTGGGCCCTGATCTCCAAACCAAAAGCGGCTCACTTTTACGCACCAATCCCAAACCAGCGTCCTGCTCACACAGTTTAACCAAGCTTTTAAATATGTTGATCAGAGTTAAAAAGAGCCTCGGTGTAATAAAGCTGTAATTTTGGATGATTTCTGCTGAGTTACTGGTCGCTTGGTGCCTAAATATCCAAACCCAAGCGGCTCGCTTTTACGCACCAATCTCCAAACCAGCGCATCCTGCTCACACAGTTCAACCAAGCTTTTAAACATCTTGATCAGAGTTAATAAGAGGGGTTTCGTACCCGTTTGTGGTCCGGCTGCCCGCCGCCCTTGCTGAGGCCGTCCTGCTGCTGCTGCTGCGGGGACATGTCGTCCATTCAGCCGCCTCACTGCGCGGCTGTCCTCGGGAGATGAAGAGGAGAGACAGACCCCATTAGCAACCTCCGTCTCCCGGAGAAACTAAACATTTCCACGGATGCTCGAACTTTTGCATGAACTTTTGGTTTTGCGGCAAAGCGCGTGGAAGGGAAAAAAAACGTGATGGGAGAGGAGAATAACTCGGATGGAGTTAAAAAACAAGCTCGGATCAGTTCAGCTCCCGTCCCGCCTCGCCATCAATGAGAGCCCGGGCTGTGTCCGTAAGTCCCTCCTGTGTGGATTAGCTGGTGCCGGGCCACTTCTTAATGCGCCTTTACGCGCAGCACGGAGGCGGCGCCGCGGAAAATAGGTCCTCCTATTTTTAACCAAACTGCTCCATTCATCAGCCCACAATCAGATTTACCCCTAAACAAACTATGAGAAAGGTCAGGTTATTGGGTAAGAGCAGGAGATGCTTCCATCAGAAAGTCTGAGCTCACTTTTACGACTCCAAGGGGATCTCTGTGGAGTATTTTAACTACTACTTCAATGTGATTTTGGAGAAAAGCTAAAAAAAAGAAAATCTGCAAACATGAAATCTGCAAAAAGGAATGGATGTTTGAGTTTCTAGTTTTGTGAGACACAAGATGGTGGTTTTCACACATTTTATGAATCAGAACGATATTTAACCACGTAAAATATTCTTCTTTGATTAAAGGGAAGTTTTGGAAAGAAATTCTGGCCTTCTCAGGTCTAAAAATGATGCAAAAAAAAGGCTGATGAAACTCTCTCCAAACACTTTGGGATCCAGAGGAGTTCAGGCAGGATTTTAAGGTCCTGATGCTGCAGAGCCAGCCCAGACCATCATCCCTCCCCCGCCGTGCTGCCAGCTGTTTCTGTGACCCTGAGCAAACCTCTCCACTTGGCTCTCTGTTCTGATTTTTTCATTCACATGGTCTATGGTCTATCTGATTTTAAATCCTGATAAAGATCAGCTCATTCGACAAAAAAAATAAGTAAAAGTCTGAAAAACCTGACCTTTAGTGTCGAAAACAGTTTTTCACTGGAGTTTTTGGAGCTCCCTTCAAGACTGAGAGCTCATCAAACTGAACATAAACTGGTGCATGTTTAATAAAAGACAGGAAATAACCAAAAAATGACCGGGAATTGTGACATCTCAGCAGTGGAAGCATCTTTTTTTACAATATTTGAAACTGCAAGGCCAATTTCTAGTTACAAGCAGTAACGACATTACAGTATATTGGATTATTATTATTTAGATATACTGTCAGAGTTTGGAAGTGACTTCAATGTCAAAAACAGCAACCAGAACCAACCACGGGGGATCTTGGGAACATTTCTCCACACTTAAACCGGTTATGGAAATCTAATAGACGCAGGTTATAAGATTATGGGCTAATAGTGAGAGTCTGGTGCTGGCTGTCAGTGAAGCGGCTCCTTCAGTCTGAAGCGCCGTTATTGAATTCTGCAACCTCTGGAAAACAGTCGGGAAAACTAAGACTTCCAACTGGGACACAAGGTTGAAATCTAGAGCAAATTCATGCCCAACTTCCACTTCAGGGGTCATCAGGAAAAAGCCACATATTCCCTGTGAATAAATATCCTGAAAGAATCAGATGTAATTGGCTTAATTTCCATCTAACCAAATGTATTATTTTTTTAAATAATCAGAAGGAAAGCTTTGTTCCAATGTGGCGAACACCTCCAACCCCACAATCGATTGTCCTTATAAACATAAGTGGGCCACAAAGTAGGCTAAGGAAGAACGAGGCCACGAGCCAAAGAAACAAAGTGTTCGTTCCCCAAATTGGCCACAATCAGCCCGGTTAAAAGTGGATCATTTGGATGATTACCGGCCCTCTTTGTTGATAATGAACAGCCTTGGGCATCGCAAAGAAAAGTAACCGCCCCCCCCCTCCATGGGTTTCTGACTCCCCCACCTCCAGTAGCTTTGGCACACTTGGTTTGAAAAAGGTCTCTAAAGCTCAGAGGCAGAACATCACTCTGCTTTTATCAGTGTAAAAAAACAGCAAACTTCAGTTTCAAACAGTTTCCAGTGTCCAGAAATAATGAAGTTTGACTGGATTCAACCTAAAAGCCTTCAAAACTCAACGTTATTTCAGCATCAAACACAAACATTCACATAAAAATATAAATTTCTAAAGTCATCAACAATTTGTGACCTCTTTACATATTTAATTCAAAATGGAAAACATGAAATGTTTAAAGCGACAATTTATGGGATCAAAACGATCAGATTTGCCTGGTTGGACTGATTAGATAGAGAAAACCAAACACAATCCCCTCAGTGCCATGCTATAATTAATGTTTGGACACGTTAACTGAGGCCAGTGTGCATGGCGTTAAAAGCAAACCAGGAAAGTAACGTTATTACGAGAGTTTACCTTCAGAATCAGAAACACACAAGTTCCTAAAAATATTTTATTTCTCTTAACCGTCAAATACAAGATGCAGAGGCTACAGAAACATTAATTTCTTATTCATTGGTATTAACACCCGATTAACCAAGATTTATTTTAGAGAAGGGAAAATATCACAAACACAACGAGAGAAGAAAAAGAGACAAAAAATAAAAAGTTCACATTCAAATAAAACTTTTTAGGCATTAAGAACAAATACTTAAAAATATTATTTTTGTGGAGCTGCAGGTTAGAAAGAAGGCGTGAACGCCCACAGTTTGTGGCTCATGGAGGAAAAAAAGGAGAATCGCTTCCCTCCGGTTAAAGTGGAGTCAAAAAGGGAGTGAAAAAGTACTTAAAACCATCCTGTTGAACTTTTTTTTTAAAAGTCCGATCCCACACGAGCGTTAGCATTAGCATTAGCATCTGCTAACCCACAGGTCTGTGTCCTAACCAATAAGTTGTTATCAGAGTAAATCCCTGTTCAACATGAGTCTGTCAACTAAGTAAGTAGATAAAATAACTTTAGACTTTAACACATGCTCTGATAGGCCGGGATCGGGATCGGAAGTTCAAAAAGCTGGATTGGGAATATGGAGATCACAGGGATTCGGCTTTAAAACTGGATTAGACAGAAAGCACAGTCCTCTCCCCTCCATCCCTCCATCACAGAAACCTCCTGAAAAGGAGCAAAAGGCTTTTCTTTCTTCCACTGTATTCAAAGTCACATTGTGGGGGTAGTGGGGGGGTAAAGAGTCCATCAGAACCGCCGGCGTTTGCTATTGGGCCCCTCGAAGGCCCCCCCCCCCGGGCTGCCTCGCCCGAATCCTGGAGCTGCTCCGGGCTGGGGGGGGGGCTGCTGCTGAGGGGACTCCGCCCCCCCCGACCCGCCCGGGGGGAACCTATCGTTCCTCTGAACCATCGGGCAGAGAGACGAGACCAGAGGGAGGTTAAGTTCAGTTAAGGAGGGTCCACAGGATGTTCAAGAACGGGTTTGGTTGGATCCAGAGTCAGCGTCCAAAGGAAAAGGAAGTCGAGAACCAGGCGGGGGAAGACAGAGAAAGGAACACGACGGTTAGCTTACTCCTCCCAACATCAAGCACTTCAAAACTTCTCTTAAAGGAGACATATTATACCTGATTTCAACAGGTTAAGCTAGTTCCCTGGTGTCCTAATGTAATGTCTGTGACAAGCTTTGGTCAAAATCCCATAAGGATGAAGCCCAATAGCAGTTCAGTCCCCCTGCCTAACCCTAACCCTAACCCTAACCCTAACCCAAAACAGCCCCGTTCAGAGCGCTCGCTTTGGAGTGCCTGTCTCTTTAAATGCAAATGAGACACAGGCAATCCACCCACTTCTTCAGGGAGGTGTGCCCACGTCGGCTCTCAGCTGCTAGCTAACTAGCTTTTCAAATTGAACAATAACGTCCTGTTATTGTGCCCAGCTAGATCATTTTAAAACAGACACTGTACTGGAGTGTTTTAAATCTATTTCTGATCGGAATCATCACAAACGAACTCGCCACTCGCCTTTTTCTCTGCGTTGTGCAACAGTAATCATCAACCGTGATAAACACGGTGCCGCATATGACGTTAGCTGTAGCCTCGATGCAGGTTCTTAGTAACGTTAGTCCAGTAATAGGTGGAATTGTCTCAGTCTTACTGGAGATATCAGATTGTGGTTCCTATTCTGAATTAGCTCGGACCTTGTTGATATTGGGTTTTCCTGAGGCATGTCAGCTCGCTCTCTTGCAGGTGAAAGGCTGGAATATTATAATGAGCTTGAGCTAATGACGTCAGAAACTACCCACTCCTGAAACCTCCTGATTTATCTCCTGGATTCAGACTGAGGCAGCCCACAAAAACATGACTGAGTCATTTTTTTTCACACTTTGCCTGTTTATAGGCCCTCCACAGTCCCAAATGTACACAATCAAATTATTAAAAACTTGGTTTTGCATAATATGTCCCCTTTAAGACTTGGTTAGTTCTCTTCTGTAAATACGTTACCATGGCGCCATTCTCGGACATCAAAGGTGTCCCCATATTTGCCGTCCCCTCTGGGCCAATGGCGGCTCCCCTTCCACTCATGCCCATCATCTGAGCCTGGTTACCGGGGGGGCCCGCAGAGGCCGGGTTATAGCCATCTAAACGCAAAACAACGCACCCAGGGGTCACACACTCGCCCACCGAGCCCCACAGACCGCCTCAAAGTGAACGTTGGCTTTCAGTCCACAGCTACAAAAGTCAGGGATGCAGCCCAAAGAGGAGCCCAGTTTCAGACCCCCATTAAAATCTACACAAATGGCTCTTTTTTTAGTAAATTTTTTACTCATTTGAGATGTTTTGGTTCCCGACAAAGCGAGAAACAAACTAAAATTTAAAGACTTAACGGGGAGAAAATATAACCGTCCTGAGTTATTTCCAGAAAAACATTTAAATATGTGCAAGTCTGAAAAGATTAAAGAGAAAGAGAGCAAAATTGAACAGAGATGCTAAGTTTTTATCTTATATTTTGCATTAAAAAATAAAATATAAAACTCCATACATCCCTGAAAATGTCGAGAAGACGTCGATATTTAGCATTTATCTAAGATTCACTTTTGGGCTACCAAAAACCAACGTCACTTCAAAACTGATGCAGAGAAAAAGTAGAAAGGTTCATAGATTACAGATTAATAACAAATTAAGTCTGAGGCTGACCCCCGAACACCCAGAGACCGGACTGCACATCACCTCTGCTTCAGAGGGCCTAAAACTGTAAAAAACAGGTTTAAATCAGCAATAACTGAGACCCAGCTGATGGAAACTGACAGAAAGCGTCTGAATTGGCTCAATCAGAGGAGATTTGTCAGAAACGTCTCCACCACAAGGC